TCTGAGCTTGATGGCCGCCTGATTACCTTCAAGCCTTCAAGACCCCAGACGCTATACTTTTTGATAGCCGGGCACCATCAGCTTTCTTCACCACATTAGCAACAAAGCCCACATGGAACAACATATCAACCTGTGTGATCACGGGGTGTCAAACGGATCACTGAAGACAAATGGGTGCATAAGCAAATATTTCCTCTTTTATTTATATACTTTCTCTTTGCCCATCTTTCTGTAACTAATTATTCACAGAAGCATAAAAATGTTAAAGTGAAATTAAATGTTGAGCATAAAAGTATGTATTTGTAAGTACATGCACAAAAGAGTTCTTGGTGTCCTTGTTGTATAGTATCTTTTTTAAAATAAAATAAAATTTTAAAATATAAACTTTCAATTTAAAGGGTAAGAAGAAAATCCTACCTTTGGGAGTCATCACAAGTGTACCTCACTTTCTCATAGACCTTTTGGCCTGCAGCAATGCTAGTCGAACGGTCCAGGGACTATGGACACACCTGGAAAGTATTCAAATATTTTGCTAAAGACTGTGCTGCTTCCTTCCCCGACATCCCATCTGACCGAGCTCAGGAAGTGGATGACCTTGTCTGTGACTGCAAATACTCCGACGTTGAACCCTCTACTGGTGGTGAGGTAGCACTTCCTTCCTTGGGTTTCTTTGATATTAATACAACTCTTTTTTTTAATCTGGATCATTTAGATTGTTTTATAGTATAGAAGTTTTGTTGCAAGGTGACTCATGCTATTGGGTTTATTTTTAAGAATGAAAAACATCTAAATTGAAATGAGCCTGGAATTCATTTCACACCAGGTAAATAACAAAGGCATGATAGAAAACAATCCTACACTAGCGTGCCTGGCTGGGTTACAGCCCAGGCTCCACACACAGCTGGGCACCCCGGCCGGGGCCCCAGTTCTAACCCTTGCAAAAGAGCCACCCAGGCTCTGGGCAGTCCTGGGTTTGTCATCTCATCTCCAGGATCATCTCGCAGAAAGACACTGCCACAACGAACCTTCTGAGCATAGATGGTGACCGAAAGAGGGTTCGCATGAGATTCGGGTTCAGCCAAATCAAACCATTGAGTCTATTCTGACCGTAAAAAAGAGTAGAACTAGCCCCTTTGGGTGTCAGAGGCTGTAATAGGAGCAGACAACCTGATCTTTCTCCCATGGAGCAGCTGGTGGTTTCGAACTGATGACCTTGTGGTTAGCAGCCCAACCTGTAATACACTACACCAGTAGGACTCCAAGAATGGGGTTGGGGAGTACTCATTCCTCAGGTAGAGCAGAAGAGTTGGTGGTAGAAAGCAGCTCCCGAAATCCCTGCCAGATCCAACTTGATGAGGGCTTGCTGAATTGTACCCAAAGCCATTCTACCCAAAGCCAGCTCAAGAGCTCTTTCCACCACTTCTGTCTCTATGGGCCAGCTGTCCACACGGAACCAAAAGGTCTTTATTCGGATTCCTTCTTGATTCTTGTTCTTATGTTCTCCCAAATGGTAATCAGTATCCTACACATGGTAGATCGCCCTGGTGGCATAGTGGGTTACAAGTTGGGCTATTAACATCAAGGTCAGTGGTTTGAACCCACAAGTGACTTCTGAGGGTGGGAGAGGAATGGGGCATTCTGCTCAGGTAAAGATCTAGGGCCTAGGAACCCCAAGGGACAGTTCTACGCTGATCTACAGGATCACAAGGACTTGGAATCAGCTCAATGGCAGGGAGGGAGGGAGTGTGTGCATGAGTGACCATGAGTGAGTGAGTGCATGAATGACCATGAGTGAGTGACCATGAGTGAGTGAGTGACCGTGAGTGAGTGAGTGAGTGAATGGGTGACCGTGAGTGAGTGAGTGAGTGAGTGAGTGAGTGTGTGAGTGAGTGA